CCTAACTTATTCTTGATTGCTACTTGCTTAGGCGGCAATGATCCTGAAATAAAAAAAGGCTCTGTGAGAAAATTTGTCCAGATTTTATGAATTGAAGTCAGTATCAGCAAACCTTTAGGTTAAAAGGTGGGATATCAAGTTAACTAACACCCATGCCTCCCCTGAGGGACGCAAAATGGATGAAACCTCCTCCTCTCGATAAAGAATTCATTTTACATCTCAAACAACTGCCAATAACTTCTATTTGAATAAAAAGGCAAAAACTAAGTGTCTGTAATATCGTGGTTATGATTTGCAAGTGGATGGTAGACGATGGAGGAGACATTCACACTGCAATCTCTGAGGGTTTTCCTCTACAAATGGAGGTCGGAGAATATTACATTACCTTCAATACCAGCTCCACACACTCGAAAAGTAAAGCTTAAACTTGCATTCACGTCCAGTTTGTAAACAAAGAAGCCGCTGCAGTTCCTCACAAGTACACTCACAGACGTCATGCAACAAACTTGCGACTTGGAGAGACATACTGATCGTACTACTAAACCTTCGTCTACACTTGGATGGTTACCCGCCAGCCATCCAGGAACGAGCGTACCGCAGTGATCAGCGGGAACGCAGGTTGTAGCCATGCGCGTACCGGCTGAGCCATTGTATGTAAACCAGCCCGTTAGTAAGGTATCGCTGGCGTGAACGTAGTTGGTAAAAAACCTAGATCTGCTTGCCTCGTTTAAAACTGTGTGGTTTGTGCACTCGATTGCTATAGAACAGGACAGAAAAAAAAAACAACTTAACATCGATCTTTTTGGTTCTCGTCTCATGAAAGCTTGGATGTTAGTGACCAAACCAAGGAATAGTAAAGGGAAAAAAAGGCATTTCTGATTTCCCTACGACGAAACGCACCCCTTTCCATGTTTTTTTAACTAAGCTTAAGGATACTCTATGGCAAGCTCGACTAGTTTAGATTCATGTCCGACAAATGTCTTCTATACTGCTAGTATGTAGGATCAAAAACGATCAAGCGTCTTAGTTCTCTATTACCAATTTAAAATAATTTCTTTTTCCTTAAAAATTTCGAAACCATATCTAACCGTTTCTCTAAAACCATAGTTTTTATTTCCAAGGAAAATGAATTTTTATTTGACTGGCGCAGCACCTTCAAGCAAATTACGGCATTTTCTCTACTGAGAAGAAATACCAGCCTGCTTTCGTTAATAATGTTCAAGCACTCCTATAATATTCCCCGGTTCCAGCAATTTTGGCAAGCTTAAGTAGTTTAGATCGTGTGACGTGTCCTGTGAAAAGCAGCTGGCTTCTACCTCTGTCAAAATGTTGAGTCAACTTTAAGGTACAATAAAAAGAATGGAAACAACGTTACCAGGATGAGGACTGGAAATCCCTTCACGTGAAGGAAGTATGGCCACAGCAAACAGTGCAACGAAGTGGTGCAGCATCTTAGCCAGTGTGCATTATCCTGGGCAGTTTTAGGAAATAAAATTGCTTTTATCCAACAGAGAGGAAATTTTTTTATACCTTTTAAAGCTATGAAACCTCTTTTTAAAGCGCAAGTACCTTCTTTACACGAAGGTAGATTTAACTAAGGTATGCCGAAAAGTTAATGCAACACTCTTCTAAACAGTTGTCTGAAAGATGTGATCAAATCCTCGTCGCAAAGTTTCGTTTCCAGGGTTTGACCTCATCGTACCCTTTGACTCATCGGTGAGTTTTTCAATTACTTTCAAACACGTACATACATTTAAAGGAGCGCATAAAAATTCCCTCTGGTTAGAAAAAGCGAGACCAATTTGCCCATGCATTATAGAAGATGTTTACGACGAGAGCTTGGCATATACTCAGTGGAGTATCATCAACGTTTGTCACTCTTACCTTACATCGAAGTCGTGGAACGCAATGCTTATTTGGTCAACACATGAAACTTAAAGTTTACCCGGTCAATACTATAAGCCAACAGTTCATCTTGTGGGTTTTAAACCAGCTTGTTCCGTGCAGTGCGACATTTATCCCTCTACAGGTAACAAAGCCCTACCTGTACTTGAGTTAAAAACTTCGTATTATGTACCAACTATTGTAATAAAATATTTATAGATGTTTGTATTAAAAGCTTGGTACTTATAACTAGAAATTGAGCTGTTAAACGTATAAAATATAAAAAAATAGGTCTCGAAACAAGTACAGATTGATTTAAGAGTCACTTGATATGAATAAAAAGCTACATTACGTGATTAAATTTCAAGACAATTTCTTTCGCGGTACTTTTTCGTAATATAAAATTCGCTCCCTGAATTTTGATACCTAAAATTTTTGTTCATCAATTTTCATTAAAAACTCATATCTTGTTATAATTGACAAGTCGACACGATTTCATGAAACAGGAAATCAATTAAACTCAAACGCAATTTTCCCAAACAAATATGCACAAACGCCGGGTAACATGAATTTTTTTTTTTGCTCCATAAGTGGGCTTCCATAACCTATTTTCGATTACAAGGGAAGCAGTGTTAACAATCAGCCCAATTGCTCCTGGAGTCGAACAAAAAGACATCAATTGCATTTTTTATGAAAGGTATCAATAGAGCGTCGTTTTAAATTGAAAACAAAACCTAAAATGCTAAAAGAGTAAGTCTGTTCAATTACTACATTTCTCAGAGGCGTGAGAAGGTTTTTCCAGAGGGGGGTTATGGAGAGAGGAGTGGAGAACGAAGCTTGCAATAGCGTCTTGTTGGCACGTGGAGGGGCGCCACATCTCTACGTGAACCCTCCCCCCCGCTTAGTTACGTCCTTATTCGAGTAACTAACTGTTCCTGGCGAAATATTAAAAGCGATCGCTCCTCAGCCATAAGGGAAGGAGAACGTAGGTATATATCACGAAAGGTCAACTCTCGAAACGTCAGTTTCGAAACTCTTTGCGGAGGCCAATTTTTATAATATATACTACCGCACAGTGCTTCCAGGGATATCAGTTTCCACATTTACACATTTATCTATATCTGAAGGAAAAAAAAGAAAGTCCCTTTTTTTGTCTATTTAAACTATAAATGAAAATAAAGTATTTTACATTTGTATTTATTTGTTGTTAGGCTACGGACTTCGCTAAAGAAAAATGTGGCGCTCGTTCTTTAATGCTGATGAGGTATTTCATGAATCCTCATTTTGTCAAAAAAACAAAGGATAACATCAATTTTTTAAGATAAAAGATCTTGAGCGGATAAAAAGTAGTTATCTTGGCTAAAAGCTAAAACAAATTCACTCAGTTTTATCGTATCCATTCTCTTAAAATGCCATAATTGGATTCCTGGCTACTTTTAATCATTTCCCGTTGGAAATTAATATTCTCCATTAAAATTCAAGTTCACTGATTGAATGCGGGAAGTATTTTTCACAGAAATATTTTCATGCTAAAATACGTCTTTTTAAGTCATACAAAAAATGAAATAGTACATCTTTTTTTTTAAATCATATTGTTTTCACTTGACTTTGGTTTGATATTTTTTCTTTATCATCTAAATTTTATAAAATTTTCGTATCACTGCTATATTATGTCAAGTAAGTTAGGAAATGAAAAAAGTTATACCAAAGAAAAATATATGTTTCAACTTGTTTTATAGCTATTTTTGGGACAAATAAATACAAATTATATCTGAGGAATTAAGGGAATTTTGATAAAACCTTCGGGAAAAGAAGTGTATTTCAAAGTTGAAATAAGACCACTTTGGGTAAGGATATCTGGAAAAATCAAAGTTGTAAAATTAAGAATTCTACTTGTTAAATTAAAAGCAATAAGAGAAAACAGTGAAATCAGCCGGTGTTTCGGAGCTTTCTGCAAAAAGGCTTTCGGGAAAAATAAAAAATTCTACTAAATAAATTAAAAGCAATAGGAGAATACTGTCAAATTAATCTCTGTTTCGGAAGTTTGTTGCACAAGGCTGTCGGAAAGAACTTAATTTCTTCCTTTACTCGTGAAATATCCAGAAAAAAAATTTCACAGCTATGCACGATTGAAAACGAAGGGTCATTGGCATCAGTTACGAGCTATTGTGAAAATTAGCGAAAAACATCTGAATTATTGGATCTTGAAGCTTCGTTCGGCAATGACGAATTTAAAAACGAAAACCCTGACGTATCTCTAAACAAAGCAAAATTTGTATGACGAAATAAAAAAACCCGATACAGCACAGAGTCGTTGATGAAACAGAAGTCTAAAAAATAAGTCGCGAGCAAATTTATCGCCTACCTTCAAAACTTCTGCGTTTGTTTTTGCATGGACTAACACCACTACTGCGGAAGTCACTGCGAGTTTTCGTTTATAAGAATTAATTAGTACTAAACTGGATAGCGCGCGTCATCAGAGACTTTAGCCGCTCACCTTGCGAGGCGGTATAAAGCTTAGGGACTTAACTGAACCAATTATGTTAAAATATTCAGTTTCTATGTTTATTCTGTACACCTTATCACCCTGGGAAAGTTGGAGAAACCTTTCGTTTTCCATTTTTAGAGATAAACAAGCATAAATTACCTTTAGGTCAACTTGATTCCTAGCGAAAGCTCCTCCCTCAAATGTATGCAAATACGAAATGGAGCTAAGGGAAGAATCAATTGGTTTAATTTCCAGCGGCGTGTGGACACAGTAGGATGTGAAACTAATACAAAGATAAGATAAATAAATACTAATAAAAATCATGCGTCATTTAAAAACATACATTGCCTCAAATTACAACGCACCGTTTGCTACTCCTATAGTAAGGTATCATTAATGCAAACATTGACATCCAAATTATTTGCCTTCTTGTCTATGTGTGTGCATATGTC